CGTCTCTCGCCCGCGGCCAGCGGGTACCGTAGACCTTATTCTCCGTGGGAGGAGGAAGGGACCGCTTATCTCTCCAAAGGCACAGCTTAGACCTGGGCCCACTACGCGCCCGGCCCCAGGGGAGGCTCGGCGCCAGGCCCAAAGCAAAGGGTCGGGTCGGGTCGGGCAGTGGGGGCTCCCCGCGGCAAGTGGATGTCTTATGGGACGACTAGAACTGAGAGGGAACTTACCCAAACACCATCCCACCCCCAGGCTGGGGCACTGGGACCCTGGAAGAGGAGGGGACTTGCCCAAAGTCCCACAGCACAAGAGGCGGCCGCCTGTCCTACCTTGAGCCCCAACTTAGCGCCCCCTGGCGGCCGGGGCTGGGGAGGCGAGTTCGCCCTGACCCGCGGGGCACAGGCTGAGGGTGACCCAGCGGCCCGAGCGGCTGTCCTGGACGCGTGAACACCGGACAGGAATAATCCGTCAGCACCCAGGGGCCCTGGCCAGGCACGACCTCCGCAGCGACGTGCTGGGGCGGCGGAGAGAGGGGGCCGGGACCACCGGGGCAGCTCGGAAAGAACGGAGGAGCTGGAGGCCTGGGTCCCGGTGAGCTGGGTGACCGGGCGGCCCCTCCTCTCCCTGGGCAAGTAGGACTGAATACGCATACCCCACCGTGAGTCTTCGCTCTCCCCCTCCGCGTGCAGCCCCTCTCTCCTTCCCACCCTGGAATGCAGGGCGCCTGGGGGTGGGGTGGGGGAGCGTAGCCCACACTTTGGGAAGGGTGAGGGCGAAGAGAGACGGTGGCTGGAGGTTTGATCTCCCTTCCCCCCATATCCAGCGATATTTCTCTCATTCTCAGGAGTGTGGTAAACTTTCAAGGCCAGGGAGACAAAGGGGTTGGATACAGGCTGGGAGGGAGGAGCGAGCTCAGTTACACGGAGAGCCCCGCTGAGACCCCCAGCCTGGACTCGCTTGTTTGTAGTCAGCACCTCCGCGTTAGGCGCCTGGCGGGACACTCTGCGAAGGAGAAAATGCCTTTCATTCCGGGTTCTCTCCCTGTCTTCCTCTGGAATACAGCGGAAGGCCCCAGAAAACAGGGGTGTTTCAAATCTGTGTGTGTTTAAGGCACACACGCACATGCACATACTACACAGGTATACGGAAGAGAGGAAACCGAGGCAGAGGGGAGCTCAGACACCCCCAGACTGCTGGGAGGCTGGGAAGACCCCAGGTGATGCGCCTCGGAGTCCAGTCGCTTGTGTTGATGGAGGGGGAGACTGAGGCTGGGCGACGGAGGGCTCGTCCAGACGCACACAGCTCCCCCACTAAGGCGGGCGCCTACTTTTTCCAACTCCCCAGACCCTTCAAAAAGGAATCCCTTTGTCTCTGCGCCTCCCCAGGGGAAAGGGGCTGGGGCTGTGAATGTGTCCAGGCGAGCGCCAGGTGTTGGTAAATTTGGGAGAAGCTGGGAAGGTAGTTAATGAGGCAAGAATGAAAGGGGGGAGGGAAGGAAGAGAGAGAAGAAAAGAAAAAGAAAAAAAGCCGGAGAAAGCGGTTCTGCGTCCTGAAGGCGGCAGGGGTAGCGTCTGCTCCGCGGCCCCAGGACGCCGCCTGGCGGCGGGAGACGGCATTGCTCCGGCCCGGTGCGCTTTCCTGCTTAGCCCACAGGCTGCCCAGCCTGGGCTCTGGCCTGGGCACCACCGGACCCTCCCTCCGAAGGGGGACAACCGGAGAGGGACTTGGGGACACCGGCATCCTGAACAGCCCTCCCTGTACAAAGACCTTTGCCATCCCATGTCTCACCCTCCCCTTTACAGACTGAGAAACGGATGCCCAGAGCAAGCCTGCATGTCCTTGTCTTCTCATAGTCCAGTGGTTCTCAACCTTCCTAATGTCGCGACTCTTTAATACAGTTCCTCATGTTGTGGTGACCCCCAACCATAAAATTATTTTCGTTGCTACTTCATAACTGTAATTTTGCTACTGTTATGAATCGTAAGATAAATATCTGATATGCAGGATGTATTTTCATTGTTACAAATTGAACATAATTAAAGCATAGTGATTAATCACAAAAACAATATGTAATTATATATGTGTTTTCCGATGGTCTTAGGCGACCCCTGTGAAAGGGTCGTTCGACCCCCAAAGGGGTCGCGACCCACAGGTTGAGAACCGCTGTATAGCCCGCCATCTGAGTAGACGTTGGAGAAGAACATGGGATGTGGACATGCGCGCACTGGGCTGAACAGCCCCATTGCCTATCTCTGAGCCTTGGTCTTCTCATCTGTGCGATGGGGGCAGCATAGTACCTATCGCACAGGGTTGCCGAGAGGAGCAAATGCGATCCTTAGGTGAACGATGGTTATCACAATGGTATCCCCAGGCACAGTGGGAAAGGAAAGTCATAATGTAATAACTACTTTTGCGGAGATAAACCAGTTTGGGGCTCTGAATCTTTGCCTCCTCTCCCCCCACCC